AGATTTGATAAGACTCATAGGTTGAGGCCTAAGCCTATAGAGATTGGAAACTGGGTTCTATTTTATGATAGCAGCCTTGAGCATCAACATAGTACTATAAAGAAATTTGCAAAAAAATGGTTTGGACCATATGTGGTGGTTACAGTATATGATAATGCCACATATACTTTATGTGAATTAGATGGACTTATCATAAGGAATCCAATAGCAGAGGAGAGGGTAAAAACTTTCAAGAAAAGAGATGGGTTATTTCAAATAGAAGACCTTCAAGAATTCTTACCTCAATATTTAGACCAAGAAGATGAAGAGGAGTAACATGTGGCACATACCGGAGGATGTGCAGGTTTGGAGGGAGTGGATGTCGTAATGTAAATGCTTACAGTATGTAAAAATTAGTTAAAATATATTATATGTTGATAAATCTAGATATATGTTAGAATGGCTAGTAGATTAAATTAAAAAGAGTTGGAATAAGAAACTTTACTTTGTTTCTTTATTTCTTTTGATTTTGATTTTGATATTAATATATATATATATATATATATATAGGACCTAAATGTTTAGTATGAAACCTTGGGAAAAGGTGGAAACCTAAGGATGAAAATCTAAACTAGTAGGGAGCTAATTGGGAGGGATGAAAGTAAGGCATGGTCGGATGAAGGCAAGGAATGGGGAACTTCATCCCTATTGGTCGAATACCATGCCCAATGGGCTTTGAGGAGGCTGCCCGCGACCTTAAGAAGGGTTTCGGCGACTTGAAAGAGAGCATTCGGAGATTAGAAGCTAGGATTGTAAAGTTTAGGGTTTGGAGAACAATTTGTATACAAAAATTAGAGGATTTGGAGTTAGGATGAAAAAGTTATAACCGTTTGAAGTTAAGGTGTTTATTTAAGACATATTGTTACTCTTTTGAGAGTACGAGGAGTTTTATAGCAGCTTTTGAAGATCGGAAGGTGCGACTGGAACTGCGATTTCAAGGCCTACATCTTTCACGAAAGAATTATTGCTTTTGGAGCTCATATGAAGGAGTTGTAAGGAGTTGAAGGTGATGCTTCTAAATCAAAAGTAGTAAGTAAGCGGGTTTGTTTGTAGTAATGGTTGAAGCCATAACTAATTTTTGACTCAAACTTTTGGAAGAATGTAAAATTTTGTGTTAAGAAGCTATACATACAAATTTCGTGGCATTGGAGCTTATATTTTGTGAGATATGAAGAAAATTGCATGCGGATGTATAAAGACAAGGGTTTGAAGCGGTTGTTAGGGATTTCAAGATATCTCAAGATCTGCAATGAATTTGCGGTTGAAAATTTTTGTAGAAGTTAATAAAAATACATCAGTACCTCATGTAAAATAAGAGTTTGTTTGGACGGTCGGATTAAGAGATATGAAGTGTTGAAGTTCGGGAAAATCTCCACATAAGAATAAACAAGGATTTAGAAGATTTTATCATATTTTGGAAGTTGTGGGTTACTTGAGGATTGTGTATTTGGTGTAATTACTCAAAAAGAGAAAAATTATATATAAACTTAGGGCTTCCCTTATTTTCAAGCTTGATTGAATAATTAGTGACAGCCAAAAGCCCAACGTTTTCTTGAGGCAAACTCTCTCTACCCCGACAATGTTAGGGCATTTCTAGATGCTTTACAAATCCTTGTTTATAAAGCTTCTTAAATATAAAAAAAATATCAGTAGAATATCTTTTGGTATTATTATATTTATTTGGCTTTTATAATAAGAATACATCACTTATTGGAACTTTTCCAATAAATTAAAGCTAAACTTTCTACAATTAGATACTTGGTGTATTTCTACATAGAAAATCACACCATACAACAATGGTCTTTATAATATCTACAAGACATGCTGTCATTTAAAACGAAGCTCCATAGGAAACAAAGTCAATCATGAGACAAAACAACTGCAAAGAATTGATTTCCACCTTATATGCTTTGCTATTCAGATCTTACTCTCTATTGAGCTCAATTAGGTTATTTTTTTGTATCATTGAATAACTTAAACATTGATAATGCTCATTCACAAGTCAGTATGGATTACTTATCATCTCCATTGAATAATACGTCATCAATAACCACATCCACATTATCTCAATTGATTATGAATATGAATGCCTTTTTCTATCTATGAGTGAATTGCTAGGGTGTTTTTGAAATTCACCTAGTCAAAGAATTGTTTCTTTGAGGCATTGAGGAGGATGTTTTATTTTGCCTATGCTTTAGTGTACTGAGACTTTATATGTGCCATGATGTTGTCTATATAGAAAAGAATTGAAAATGTTTTTACATTCATCGTCCACTTCTGCTTATGCCTTATGAGATTGATCTCTTCACAACGAAACTTCTCATAGAATAAGCATCATGTTGATAGAACTTAGTCGATGTTCTCATTTTATAGATTTGGCATAAGTTTGATGTTTTCATCTCATAGATTTGGCACAAGGTCGAACTTCATCTTCATAGAGGATTTCCAAGGGTTCTACAATTCCTTCACCATAGTAAATTTGACTTGCATACCTCAATGTAACTATTATGAGTGTAGATCAATATTCCATTGCATGGATTGCATTATGCAACATCTCTCTTAACTATACAAAAGAATACCATTTGAACCTTATTTTAGAGCATCTTGTTAAGCTTATTCTAGAAAAATTAGGATTTTTTTTGGAATAGGCCCTAATTTAAAGAAACCTAATTATAATCCATTTTTAAAGATGATAAGTTATCAAAATAATTATTTTAAATTTGTAAAAAGTGATTTCTTTTACTTAATGATGACACTAAATTATAATAGGTGCCATTAGACTTAAGAATACTAATTATGTTTTGAAAAAGTATAAGAGTATTATTGCATAATTTATAATTTTTATTTTATTTTACTTTGATTCACATAAGAGTGTATAGGCCAACATAATAAGTTGGTTCAAAGTTAGCCATCTATTATTGTATTATATACATATTCTACTTTAAATAGAAATTTTATATTATTTTTAAAAAATGGTTTTAATTAATTTTTTAAAGATAACTTTAAAATAGCCAAATATTAGAATTATATCATAGCAAAGTTCTTTGTTAGTTTCATGTACCAAAATTATAATTCTCTAGTTCAATTTTTTTGGTGTCTACTATATTCTAACAAATTATACAATAATCACTTTAAATATATATATATATATATATATATATATATATATAGTATATTTATAATATATTTATATGTTTTAGATTTAAGTTTTACTTCAACAACTTTTTTTTTATAGTAAATATTTTTTTTCTATATTCAATTTAAATCTACATTATTTAATTATATATATATATTTATATTTATATTTAATTATGCTAATAAAAAATTATACACCATATAATAATATTTTATTTGTCTATATTTTGTAATAGTATTGCATGGACTTAGTTTAGATAATTATTTACTAAAACATAGTTGGTGTTTAGTCACCTCTTAGAAATTTTGTTACAACTTGAAACTTTTTGAGCTACTTCTTTGTTCATTATGTAATCTAAAATATTTATGCTAATTATACTTTTAATTAGAATAAACACACATCCTCAGACTTAAATTGTCACAACTAAACGTTTGAACAGATTCGATGAAAGAGAATAAAAATAAAAGTTGAGAGAAAGAAAAGAAAAAAGAAAATCATTATACACACTGATTTTGAAATCTATATGGGAAGAGGAAGAGTCACACCTTCAATAAGAGAGGCTCATTCCACTTGTAGTAAACACAAAACCAGTGTGATCTTCACAATCACCACAAAGAGAGAGCCAAATGGTAAAATGGGCCTTAAATGGAAGGTAGTTCTTGCCCTTTCAAGAGAAGGGAAGGGGGGGCTGCAACACAAGGACGTATCCAGATTTACTAAAGTTGAAAAATAAATAAATAAATAAAAATCGATACAAATCATACCATGCTTAGTAACAAACCTGATCACGGGTGAGATTGCAGCACACTTTGTGAAGGTGCATCATAACTGTAGGGTTCCGTAATTAAATGCCTAATTTACCGAATTGTACCGCCGGTGAGTTTTGACTTGGACGCCGTCAAAGCCAACGAATGGCTACTCCAGCTCTACCCCGACCCTGACTTAAAAGAAAGGCTCAGGCCAGAAATTGTTTCATTCTGTGTCATTGTCGAGCAGAGTTCCCTCCCCCTTCATTCCCTTTACTTTTTTTTATATGAAAGAATTAAACTTGTTATTCTCCCCCGAAGTTGCGGGTTTGAATTGAATGACATGGACATTTCATTTTTATTTATTTTTCAATTATTCAGCTGGAGATTTGTTCACTCTAATCAGTAGAGGTGTATGATACAAAAACCAGTGTTGGATCGTGGTTCTTCGGAGCTGAGTCAATTTTCAAAAACAGTCTAGTATCTAAACGCACACCACACCTCATTGGCTAAGTTCCTCAAAGTTTCACCAACCACCGCCTTGAGCTCAATCGTGAACTCAAATTGACTTTATTTCAATTTAGAGTGCGTAGAAAAAATGAAAAATAAAAATCAGTCATGTGGGTTTGTGCAAGATCGAACTTTTACGGACAAAAGCTAGTAGCTGAACCAGTTTTGTTCTCTCACATCACCTTGTGTATGTGTGTGTGTTGGGAGTGTGATTATTTATCAACACGAGGCACTGCTCCTGATAGTCCGTTGAACTACCGCACAAAGATGTGAGGGGAACGTGCAGCGGACTCCACTCCAGGGGGGGGAGTCAAGCAAGCAAGTCCGAGTGGGGCGGAATCCAAGTATAGCAAAGCAAGGGTCCTGAATTCAAGCAGCGTGCACAAGGCTACAGCCTAAGTGGACTAAATACAACAGCCACTAGCCGAACTTCATGCCCCTTGACGGAGCCCCCGCCTTCCGTCCAGTGCTACAGTTGATCTCCGTCGTAGCCCCACACACTCACTTCCACTTTTTCACTCTGTCTCTCATTCATTCAGTCAGTCAGTCCCTCACACACTGGGTTGCCGGCCCCCCCATCCGTGTGATGACGATGGATTAACTCAGTTGTAGTGGAAATCCATTTTCAACATCGGTGGAAGGAGGGAGTAGATAAGAGCGATGGATGGGTGATGGGTTTGTTAGTTACCTGCAGCACTGTGGCCTGTAACAATCCAGGTTCTATGTGGCTGGCTTTTTGGCTATTTATGGGCGAGTGAGTGGGACGTTTGAGGTTTTCTCAGCGCAAACGACGATGAACGTGGAAATGTCATTGCAGGGCGTTTTCAATTATTATGATTGTGCGCAAATAGGGGCATATGCTGGTTTCTGGCAATGCGATGTGAGGGACAAGAGATATCATAGCAGGAGATAATCTGATGTATCATATCGTCAGGGAGGGAGGGAGAGAGGGAGGGAGGGTGATGAAGGTTGGATTACCTGCCGCCATGGTCCTCGTGCTCCTTAATCCTTTTCTCTAATCCTTATTAACTGTTGCAAGTGTGGTTGGTCGCTTTGTCCGCCGGGCTGCCGTGCGAAGCAGCCGTTGCTGAATGACATTGATGGTGCCGATTCGCCCTTGACGGAACTGGTTCCCGTATTGCAACAATAGTTTTTGTATGATAGTTGTTTCGCACACCGCTCCTGCCTGGCGCTCCGTCGGTTGTGCTAACGTCCCCTCCTACAGCAATGTCGATTTCAGCAGCGTTTGCGCTTGGCAATGTAATTCGCAAGAAAGGGAGGCTGAGGAGATTCCAGCAGGAGGGTGAGCGAGGATGATGGTCATCGGCTTCGGCGCTCTAACGCAGCAGATGGAGCCGCTGGAACAACGCAGCGTGCGGATGAATGATCTCTCTAGACTAAGTAAGCAAGGAGTCCGATTCTGGCGATCTCCTTCGCATTCATTGCTAACTGCTTGTTAGCGGAAGTGCCGTCGTTTACCCTGGCTCAGATTCACGACGAACCGAAGGCGTGCAGATACAGAAAACTGTAGTGTAGAACTTGGAAGGATATCGGTAAAACTTTCAAAAATAAAACTAAAAGAGGTGAATGCAACAACTGAAGGGCGTTGGATAGATTTAGAAGTTCCGGCATTACAAGGGATGCTGCGTGCTCTTCCGGGGTTTAAATGGCCATGAACAGGGAAGGTGTGGTGAAGAGGGAATCAGAGGCGAAGAGGGAAGGAGGATTCAGCACATGGCTGCAGCAAGTGAGACGATCTGGAGAGTATAGCGATGTCACCGTGCGAGTGGAAGGGGAGGATTTTCATGTACACTTGCTGCCGCTTCTCAATGCAAGTGCCTACTTTCGCAACGTGACCAGCCACCCGCATTGGTCCTCGGGGTGGTCTTCTGATGCCAGTCACCAGGGATCCAGAGTCATTTCTCTCCCCAACTTACCAGGTAGCCACTCCTTCTTCTTTTCAAGGCCTCTTAACATTCGCAGCTTAAGTCTTGGTTGAAGAAATCCTCAGCATGACAAGAAAGAAAAATGAAAATAATAATAAAAAAAATCATTTCGTTGCTGGTCTTGTGTAGGTGGAGCGGAAGGGTTTGCAGGAGCTGTTGATTACTGCTACCTCATCAAACCCAACTACACAATCCAGAACGTAGCGCGCATTCGCGCCGCCGCGGAGTACCTCGGCATGAACGATGTCTTAGAGAGCACTAAGAAATTCCTCTACCAAAACATATTCGCGCACTGGCGCCCGAGCGTTGGCTGCCTCCTGCAGTACCATCCCGTAGGCTCCCCGGTGGACGAATACATCGAGACGCGCTGCTTGAAAGTCTTGGTCGCTGCCTTAGCCCGTGCATTCGGTGAGACGAAGCACCTATCTGCGCCCATGCCGCTTAGAGCAGGCAATCTACAGACCTCCCCATGCCAAGTGCTCTCCGAGATTCTGGTCAGGACTGCTTCCTTACCAGACGCGTATGCTGCCGAAGCGCTGGATGCACTGGTAGAAGCAGATGTGAACTTGAACCTGAAATGTCGCCAGGGACGCACCGTGCGCAGCTGGTTAGATAGCGTCATTGACGACCAGTGCACCACAGACAGAGCCAGATGCTCGGTCGTGCTCTGCCTTGCCAGGATGCTCTTGCGGGGCGCACCTGTTTGTCGACCATGGCTGGAGCTTTCTTCTCAATACTGGTGTAGTCTCTTGGAGCATGTGGACCATCTCGTGTCTTTGGTTGGTGACGACGAAGACATGCAGGTAGTAGTAGGCCCCACCTCTGCATTCAAGCAGTTTGGAGCGATGTTGCTGTGTTGAGCTTCGAAAGTTTTTAAGGTTTTGAATTCATTGCAGGAGAAGCTGCTGGACGTGAAAAGAGTGATTGAGCGGCGGGTAGGGGTGAGCCTCGACGAGCTGGACGATTATCTGCACTCTTACAAGCTCGGGCCGGATACTTTAATGGCGATGGTGGGGTACTGGTTGGACGAGGGGCACCCGGATCCGGCGTCTTTTGAAGAGATTGCTGGTGAAGTTGACGGGTTTTTGTGGACGTATGCGGAGGCGGGAGCAATCGATCCTGAGACGTTTGTGGCTCTGTTCAAGGTGAATTGCAAATCCCAACCTCTCCCTCTCCTACCCCGTTCTGCAATTTCTATTGAGATATGAAGCCTCACGTTTTTAAGGCCACTGCGGTTAAATTCAGGCCTTCCCAAATTCTTCGCGACAATCGCACGACACCATATTCGGCGCAGTCGAGAAGCTGTTGGCGACCAGGCCGGATGCCTCTCCCGAAGAGAAGCAGAGTTTATGGCGGTTAATCGATCCCGCCAAGCTTAGTCCGGCTGTGAACGAGAGGGCACTCAACAATCCTGGATTCTTGAGTCAACCCCACATCCTAGAGATAGTCCTCCAAAAGCACAGTGAAGAGCTAGCAAAGATGCCTGACACAGATGCGCAAAATATGAGGCATATCATGCAGAAGGTGATCAACGCAAGTCTGAAGCTACTGGAGGAGAATTCGCGACGGTCTCAAGAGATCATGGAGCTTCAGCAACAATACTCTGCGCTCATGGGCGGAAAGATTTGCCACTTGCAAGATAGCTGTGATAACAGTCCGAGTCCTTGTTGGAGACCGAGTTTGACGATTACTCACAGGACCACGCAAAGTGAAACCGAAGGCTCAGAGTACTCCGAGACGCCGTCGTTGGCGACTGTCAGCTCAATAGGTGCGCACTATCACTCATTTCCTTGCTTATTAGTTGAGTCTATCCTGATTAACATTTATAATCGACATGTGGCTTGATCAATCGTTTGCCACTTCGAACGACATACCAGTTGACGTACTCTTTGTTCTGAAGTGGTTCCGAATGCTGCGAGCTTATGTCCGGTTCCATTCGCAGATTATTCATAGACAGTTCTGTTTTAGAGAAACTGCGTGGATGCTGTGAAAGGAAGATCTCATTCCGAACTTGAAATCCGCTGTAAATGCAGAACCCCGACTGAATTTGCGAGATATCTACTCACTCGGAACCTAGCCACCTGCTTGGAGAAACGAATTGACAGTACATCTACATTTGTCCGAACAGCTCTGATGGCTTTTTAATGTACATCGTACAGCAACTCAATAGACTAGACGTGCTGCACTCCTACCACCCACCTGGTTGATGGAAGTTATTCGCCATCTTTCACGCTCTAGCTGGCAAACTTCAGTTTCAGGGTGCTTTCGAAATTACGTACGTATCGCCTCAATCGCAACATTACCTTAAATCTTCCTATTGAGGACTTGAGAGGAGAGGCTCTTAGCCCTTTGGAAGCTTGAGCATGAGAAGGAAGGCCTATCACCTCGATAGGAAGGACTGTCTGGAAGCGGCTGGCTAGGTTTCAAGGATTTCCAAGGAGGGATCGTGCGGCGAACCCTCCATGTTTGACTCCCTTTTTCTGCGCTCGAAAGCACAACTTGGATTTGAGTAGAAACCTCAAGGTTTTGAGGAGGGCATCAAGGTCTTTTCCGCTTATAAACCGCTAACACTTCTGCGGCACAAAAGACATCATGCAGGAGTTAAGTAATGGGGAAGTGTTTGATACACAGTTGGTTGATAAATACGCATTTGGCGGCACACCCAACTTGTGCAAACAATTCAGATCGGCTTTCTCTGTGTAGAGTAGATCGCTTGTGTCGAATAGAAAGACGGCAGCAACAATTTCCAAACATGTTGCAACTAATCCATGACTTAAAAAGCATATGCTTGGTTACAAAGATAGTGCAATTGAACCAGCCTGTGTAACCAACTTTGAGTCACTTGGCCCGGATTGCCAGTAAAACAAGTAGCGTATGATCTTGTGACAATTACTATTCGTAGAGCGGATTCGAAATTGTTGAACTCTTAGATGATGAAGAAGAAAAATCTGTGCATTATCTATCGCCAAAGCAGACTCATTCATTCCAAGAGTCCTTGGCTTCTTCCACTGTCGACCCCTCAAGTTTTCGCGTTCTCCTTACCAATTGCAAATTTGCAGCTTTGAACACTTGGAGCCTGAACAGGATAGCAAAGATTCTTTCGAAAGTCGGAAGACATTTGATTTATGAGCTTGAGTAGTGTATTCCTGTATTCCTTGCAAACGAATCTTCACACAACCTCAAAATTCTTGGATGAGAGTTCAGAGGTCTTAGTATTTAAAGGAGAAGGTAATAACTTTTAATTCTTTTGATTTTATGGGTCTTTATACTCAAAAGTCTTTTTTGAAAAGTTATGGTGTTGAAGTCTCTCATTTGGTGAAGAAATTTTTTTCTTCAGAAATCTTGGTTTTTGGAAATAGTATAAAATGAAAACATTTCATGAAATGGATCTGTTCTTTCTTTTTTACAAATCTAAAGATTCCAACTTACATCTTGATTCTAATAATTGTAACAAAAATGATGTAGGTATATATGTATATATATATATATATATATATATAGTTTTTGACTGTCATTTTAGGAATTTTTGAACTATTGTAAAAATCACCTCTTAAAGTAGGCTTAATTCAAATTTAGGAAGTTAACACTATTTATGCCACATAGAAACAAAGAGCATTCCACCTCATCTTTTCTGCTTCGTACTTCTTGATTGATTTTTGTAACAAACCCATATAATTTTTTTAAAAAATACATATGAAATTAGTTATTTATTTATTTCAAACTTCATGTTTATATTTTCATTATATATATATATATATATATACACACACAAAGAGAGAGAGAGACCAAGCTTTCAAAACGAATAATTCTATTGAGTATAATATTTTACACTAAATTATTTAAATTTCACTATATACATATATATATATATATATGTAATGGATTGCATACATAACAAAGTTGCTTACAATTGCCCAAATATGGATGTTAATTTCATTTTGAATCATAAGGAATAATTAAATCTAAAAGAAGAACTTGAAACCCTCAAATGAAGTGTCAAATTGGATATCAGTTTCTCAATCATGATATTATCATTGTAAGGTTGGCAATTCACAGGCTGCATGAGCGAGCATGGGTACCACTATTAGCGTCGTCCCGACGAAGAATACACACCTATACGTACAAATACATATGAGTATATAATAAGGAATACGAGAAAGTACGAAGGCGGGGACGGAGGCCGCCTTGGTGCCGGCATCGCTGATGCCCGCGTGACGACGTCGTCGGATCGATCGATCGATGCGTTTCAATGCTGCATTCACCGGATTCCGCCGCATTCATCTGCCCTCCCTCCCTGCTCAGATTTCCTGATCGTCACATGGTCTGCTTCCAGCCGCTTCGATCGTCGGCACTGAATCTTCATTCCGTTAAGACTCTCGATCGGCGCATGCATGATCACAACCTCTGAAAATTTGCAGCTACGAGCTCGACAGGTCGTCGCTGGTTTTCAGTTGCCGCGCGGGAGCTTCGCAGTTCTCACTTCATTACTGCGTGATCAGTCAGCCTGGTTGGCGCTGTTGGGTCCTATCGCCATTTGTTGGGTGAGGGGGCGAGGATGTTATCCCTCAGAGGGTTTGATTTCGAGGTTGGCATTATAGTTGGAAGCGTAGGAAGGGAAGAGATGCGGCCCTTTGACTATTAATGGATAGCTGCCCTGCAATTAGTATGCTTGGAAGGTATACGAGAGGTAGCTTAATGAACGAATTAATGTGAAGCAGCAGGGTTTTCTCGGTTTGAAGCGGAGGGCAATTTGTGTGGGAATTAGATTCGAGTGTCGTCGTTGCTTAAGAGGTTTTGCTTTTGTGGAGGCTTACCTGGCCGTTTGTGGGGTTAGACATACGCCGAATATTTATCTGAAGTAGCTAGAGGGGGACTTATGGTACTTTGGTATGTAACCCTAAATAGAGAGGAAGGAGGGTTGTGAGGTTGGCGGAGTGGAGGTGCTGCAGATCGTAGAACCTAGCGTTTAATGCCGGAAGTGCCACTGAATGTTATGTGACTATGGTGAACTTAACCATATGCCTTGTCAAGGCGGGGGCTGGAGCTGGAGGCAGCCCAGGTGAGAACCAGGAGTTAGCTGGTGGGACAATCCCCTCAGCTTCTAAGGATCCATCGATGTCTCCTCACTTGATAGACACAGACCTACCGCTTTTGAGGGGAGTGGGAGTCGTGCCTTCAGAGCCCTGCGCTGTGAACTTCGTGGGAGTGAAGGCTCATCGCAGACCTGGGGACAAGGTTCACATCTGTGTGCGGTGCAATTTTCCGATTGCTGTTTACGGTAGACTGGTATGAGCTCACCCTCCGAACCAATTCTTTTCTTTCGACCTTGAATTGGAGGTCGTGAAGGACTTGTGCATTGATTTAGGCGAATCCATCTCGCATTGTGTAGAGTTAATGAGCAGTAGCAACGGTTCTATCGAGTACATCTTGAAGCACTTCGTATAGCTGCCATGGATTGTTTGTATGTAAAATTCCCTTGAATACTTAAGGTTATGATTTGCTAAGGACCGGAACTTGTGGTTACTTGTTGACGTTCTGTACTCACTTGTTTTGTTTTCTGAATTTTTTGCAATTAATACATTCATTTAAACCTTTAGAGAGCACCTTAGGAGTAGGGATCACAAATATTTACCCAAATGATTTCAATTTTTATCAGTTTAAAAAATCCACCGAGGTAGCAACTCTTTTCTGATTTAACCACTGTTGTTGCTCGTCCCGTAAAGATAGACTACAGAGAGTCTCTTCACTTTGTGGTATGGTTTTAGTTGAAGCATTTAATCATATGTTAACGTGTTGTAATCATATAAGCACGTTTCTTCATGCTAATATTAGAAATGATGCTTATGAACTTAATTATGCTTGAAGAAATTGGTGTGATGGCAAATATATTTCCCACGAATGGCTGCAGATACCGTGCGAGCATGTGTTTTGCTTGACATGCGCCAAACTTGACCCAGCCTGCTTCCTGTGAGTCTGACGCCTTCTGCTTGCTCTCGTTGCCTCTAACTAAAGTGCTGGAATAGTAAAAGAACTTGATGGGCATGATTGTAATTTGGTTCATTGTGTGTTCACAGAGGAGTGCCTTTAGCGACTAGTTCACAGAGGAGTGACTTCACAGAGGAGTCAGTTTCTTAATTGCATATGTGACTCTGGTTTTGCTTGCAGGTGCGAGGAAAGGGTTACTCGTATTCAGAAGATGGACGTTCTGGAAGGTATCTATATCTGTGGTGCCCCAGGCTGTCTGCGATCTTTTCTTGCAAGGCCCGATTTTGACATGCATATATCTGATGTTCATTCCCAGCTCTTGCAACTGGAGCAGGGAAGATTATCACCAGAGAGAAACCCTTCTGTTGGAAACGCAGCCCCTAAAACTCAGGTAACCATGTGTTCCATGTATCTATCCAAAGTGTTTCCCTTTCTCTATCAAGCCTTTACTCTCATCACGTACTAGCTATGTATTATGGATACTTCCTCTGAGTACAGTGGATAGTTAGTACACTGATGGTCTTTGTTTTTAAAGTACTTTGCGTCAATACTGGTATTCTATTTCAAGTCTTCACGTTACAGTAGTACTTTCACCTGCAGTGGAGTGCTAATAATATTATGTACGTACGCGGGTCCAGTCACAACATGCTGACGCAACTCCTCCCGTGCGGCAATCCTCCGGCACCCTGCAAGTGGTTCCCCCACGAAAAGAACTCCAACGTAAGCCATCGAAAGGGGCTCGGCAGGATCCCCAGGGTGTACTTGCTCGCCCTGTCCCCGAGCTTCGGTTGCCAGAGCAGTTCCCACACTACACACGCGACCAACGATCAACACACGAACAGGAGACGAACCACGCAAACGCCTTCGACTCACATGGAAGCGATCAAAAGGTGAGGAGACACAGAGAATGGGTGATGCATGCTCCTCAAGGGCAAGGCGAGGATGAGAGAGAGAATTACGAAAGACAGTCACAGAGGGGAAGGCGGCTAGATGGAGGCTCTTCAAATCATTCAGGACGAAAGAAGGAAGGAGAGGGCGACTATAGGAACCCTCGCTCTCCCCTGCCAACTCCGAAAGGATTGCACGAGCGGAAAGAGCACCAGCTCAGCCAGCAATCGAACCAGCAGCACCCGCCTCCTCCACCCTCCTACCTTCCAAGTTTCTCCCCCGCTTATCTTCCACAGCAAGAAGGAAATAGCTTCCCTTCTCGGTTTGAAGCTTCCAGGGGTTTCCACTCCAGCATGCCATTTGAAAACGGTCCTCAGCTGAGACACCCGAATGGTTCTATCAGGCCTCCCGAGGGTCATGGACACCGCGGTCCTGCCAGGCCCATGAATAGGAGCAGCAGCCAAGACCAGTTTGGTCAAATCAGACCACTTCAGCCACAATTTTATTCAGAGTATGGCCCTGCCCATGGGATGGCTCCCATGGGCCACCTTCCCTCTCCTCCTCCTTCAGGGCCTTTTTCAAAGCGGACCCAGTTCAATGGCCAGAGGATGGATTACAGCTGGGGCCCTGGAACTCCTGGTAGCTTCGGAGGCCCGCCTCATCATCATGGTTACCCGAATTGAATGCCGCCTTCAAATTCTTCAATGAAGGGTGAGTGCATCTGGATCCTCTGCTGAAGAAAAATAAAAGAACAAAGAAAGAAGCACTGGTACCCGCTGCTGAGGAGATTGAGGTGCTTCAAAGGTCAAGCTCAGTCTTGTCGGGTGAGATACATTTTTGTTTTTATTTTCACCATGGTTTCAGGCACAGCTACTTCATGGCCTTGTACATTTTTCTTTAGAAAAGCATTTGGTTGTTGATGTTCATGGCTGATGAGGCTTTTGGCTAAAGCCAGACGTACTCTTTGAAGAAGCTCATCCTCCAAAGGACTGTCATATCAACTTATCAAGCTTTGCTCTTGCACAAGTGCGGCGTGTCTTCAAGCTTGCAGGCAAATTTCTCACAAGATTCATTTGCCAATCAGATTAAGTGATGACATATGCCTCACAAACCCTGTAATCAAATTGGACTACCTTATTCTCTTTATCACCTCCACGATTCTTCTTACTCCTAAAAATACTACTTTTGGCTTTTCATTTTGTCGGTGACGTCTAAAGACCCCCAGAGTGAATCATGTATCAATTTATTTGGTTAATGTGTCAGTAGCAGTTATGATACCATTGCTATATATATATATATATATATATAGATATATATATACCATTTATCATTCAAAAAAAAAAAAACATGAAGTGGAAGTGGAGATCATGATTATTGATTCTGAATGCAATCATGATTAACTAAACATTAGATAGTGGTGCACAACAAACCATTCAATCTCACTACAGAATTTATTTAGTCGCTGATGGAGTTGCAGAGATCACGCTTTCAGACCAAAACCTGACCATGAAGGATTCGTTGGATTCTGACCAGAACCGTCATCATGCTTGGGTTGATACTACATGTACATAGCTTCCATGTTGGCAGGAAGCCGAACCGGGAGATCAGGTTCGTCAGGAACGGGAAGTGGGGGGGGGGGGGGGGTCTTATCTAGAGCGGGTATGGGAGCAGAGGCAGCGGGTGTGAAGGGAGGCTTGCCCGGGTTGCGAATGAACGCGAACGGGAAGGCACAAGCAGTGTAGTGCAGTGCAGTGAATGAGTGAGTGAGTGAGTGAGAGAGTTGCAACTCAGGAATTTGGAGTGCACTTAGCGATGGCGTCTTCCCCCGCTGCTGCAGCTGCGACGCTGCCTCTCACATCGCCGTCCTCTTCGTTTTCCTCCTCACTTTCATCTAATCCTACTCATGTCTCGTTTCGCGGGCTGAAGTCGGTGGCCCCTTTGGTGAAGCGGGCGGATGTGCAGAAACCATTGCAACGTCACGGCTTGAGTGGGAAGAAGCGTGGCCCGGTCTTGGCCATGGCTGTGACGCTCCCCGTGTTGACGCTTGAGGGAGGTGCAGCTGGGGAGGTAGAGATGGACTTGAGAACAGCCCGTCCAGAGACGGCGAAATCTGTTGTGCACAGGGGATTGATATGCGAAATGCAGAACCGGAGGAGAGGTACGGCGTCCACATTGACGAGGAGCGAAGTGCGGGGCGGAGGCCGGAAGCCTTACAAGCAGAAAGGTACCGGGAGGGCTCGCCAGGGGTCCATTCGGACGCCTCTCCGTCCCGGTGGAGGTGTGGTGTTCGGCCCTAAGCCCAAGGACTGGTCCATCAAAATCAATAAGAAGGAGAAGCAGTTGGCCATTAGCACTGCCCTCCAGTCTGCTAGCGCGAACACCGTCGTTGTGGAGGATTTTGAGGAGAAATTTACCGCGCCCAAGACGAAGGAGTTTATTGCTGCGCTGATGCGATGGGGCGTCAAACCGGGGGAGAATTCGTTGTTGTTCTCCATGAATCCCTCGGATTCTCTCGTTCTGTCCAGTAGAAATGTAAGTACCTGCAAGCTCATGACACCTCGTAGTTTGAACCTCTATGACGTCTTGAGGGCGGACAAATTGATACTCACCAAGTCGGCAGTAGAGTACTTGGAGCAACAGTATGGTGCATCGGAGTCATTTGAGATCGTTACATCGTATGAAATCGTGGAAGGAGATGCCGGTAGACAGGACGAGGGTGCCAGTGAAGAGGCCGTATAGATTGAGATCGCTTCGTTTGAGATTAAAGGGTAAAAGCGCTCACTAACTCACATTAGCCATTATTGCTTGTTTCATGGAATTAGGGATTGCTGTTATCGTTGCGGGTCTTTGTGAACTAAGTTCATTTCAGAGATGTGAACGTGGCTATTTTTACTCTCAGGGCACTTCAGAGAAAGCATAGTCCTAGTTTGGTAGCTTGGTTTTAGTCTTCGTTTGATTTTTGGAATTCTTGGTAATGTAACTGGTCATTGGTGTCATCAGAGACTTTCAAATTTCAGTTCCTTCTTCTTATCCACGACTTTTCTCCAGCCCTGCCCACGGATAGAATAACTAGGTTAGTATTAGTTAAAAGTGTTACCGTTTTCTTTTAATATCAAGCCATTGTCCATCAAATTCAAGAATTTCTACAAATGCACTGTCAGTAACAGGTCTTGAATTGGAGCGATGTAAGTTTCCACATGAGCTGTATGACTGCTGCATTGATCGCTGATTGCATTCAGAAAGCCACGCGACTTAATGTATATTTGAGTTTGCAGATGTCATGACACCCGTCGCTGACATGGTGATTTCTAAAGACATTAATGAATGAATCGTTTCGTAAAGCTGTGGTTGTAACTTACAAAGCACGCGTAATATATAATGGTCATGAACGCAAAGCAAACAAATGCTATTTGGAAGATGTTGTACCTGCAGTAATTTATTTATTATTGTAGATTAGTTAGATGGGTCAAGAATATTTAATTTTTCATGCAAGAGCGACCTAGAATCATGCATCGACTTCAGTTGCAGAATGAAATAGACCGCTGCAGGACCGTTTTCACGCAGCAGTTGGTGATGTGGTACGTTTTAGTCGGAACTTTTCTTGCTGCAAGCTTGATCCTGGAGTTAAGCGAACTTGAAAGATCCACTCAAGTACTATGAGTAGTCAAGCTGCTATCCTGTTCGTGCTCTGTACGCATTGCAACTCGCAATTCTGCTTATTCAATGGCTGGCACTCAAATTCTACGTGGTGTGCACTCTCTTGTTAGTGAAACTACCGTTTTGCTTCTTTTCTGGGAGAGTGATCTCCATCAAATATGACATCATTTCTGGTCTAGGTTCATGCGGTCCAGCGAACACAATGCTTTGGCAGGTGTATGGAAAACTTGTGGAGTTTCGCTACAATGTAGGCGCTTCAACTTGAATGTCATACGCACCTGAAAAGATACTTGACTCCTCTCAATGATTCGACAGTGCCACCAAAGATTTCTTGAACAGCTGTAGCATCCACGTACAAAGAGAACGCCTTCGCACAGAATTGGATCATACTGCAGAATGCAGAGTAAAACTCACAAGGATCATTTTAATGAAATGTTAGTGGATTGAATGTCCAACATATAACTTACTTCGAATGAATATTTCCCACACGTCAAATGAGCACCTGATGCTGCTTGCGATTATAAGTTCCACGTTGAATAGGAAGGAATTCATCATCGTACCCCCCCATCTGGTAGACAAACGTTACAAATCATAGATTGTGACGAACATGACGGAGAAGAGCAGATTCAGTTCTCAATAGCTGAAAGCATTCACCTATTTAAGAGATCTGAGACGATAAACAAATTACACGAATCGTAGAGCTTGATGACCTACTTCATGGGATGGACTCGAAATAAGAGGAAGTTCAGACCAATAAGCATCTCTCCAGATATTACAGCCAGCAGCAGATACAAGCAGAAGATGCCGAATCCGACTGTACCCAGTAGTCCTGCAGCGTGGAAACTAATTTAGATAACAGACCTGCCTCAAAAGACATATTAAATCAGCGTACTGAGAAGTCTTTTGCTTCCTGAGGTATTTTTGAAGCTTCAGACAGACTTGAACGAATTTCAGTCAGAAAGGGTTGTAGAAGTTCACCCCAAGCATTATCCAAGTCTATAAAGATCTTGTTCAGAAACGGGTTCCTTGGTGGTGAGCAGAGCATGAATATTATGATATGCACCAACCACATGATTGACACCACCATTCTGCAATTGGTTACAACGTACAAACATCATCTTTCAATGGCACCGTTATGCGACGAAAGGATGGATACAATCTGTTATCTTGAACGTGAGCTTACCCAATGAGTCCAAAAAAGAGACATGCCAAATAGCCGATAACAGTAAGTGCCCACGACATTTCAGCCTGCGTACATCATCAAGTCACCTTCATTCTCACCGTCAAACAGAGGCAGAGAATTGATAAATGATACAAAGTGAGGAAAATTTGATCACTTGTTCAAATGTCACAATGAAAAAATCGAAATATTGAATGCAGTTGATCATTTTGGCGTATACGTCACGACCTTTTCTCCTTGAGGGTAAACTTCTGACAAAGCTTGCTCATCTTGTTCCAAGAATACAAGCTCCTGCACAACAAGGATATCGTTGCATAAGAAGGCCAATCAAGCCACGTCTCCGCTACCATCACATTACCTCTGTAGAGATACTACGTCATAGACATCGTCGAAAGAATAAAAGACCATACCATTGAGTGTCTAAGACACTTGACAGGAAACCTATTACCTGTTGAAGCTTCACCAAGTTCTTTTTCCATTGTCTTCCTTTGACTCTGGCTCTCTCTTCACGTTGTAAGCCCAGTACAATTTCCTTTATTTCTTTTCCTCGCTTCATAATTTCAGTTGCTTCCTGCACAAGAGCAATAGGATACTTTTGACTGTAATTTGAAATTGACATCATGACCACAGAACGGGGCTTACTCGACGTCAAAAGGGTACAATCTGATTAACATTATGTTGTGATGGTGCTTCAAAATCTCAATGACAATAACCTTAGTGTACTGAGCAAGGGTAATTGTTGTCTTAGGCCGATGAAGGAATGTGTTGATCAGACTCATTGGTAAAGATGCAATGCCTATACCACCGAAAATCTGCAAAAAAACTCCCCTTAGTGAGAATACTTCTAACAATTACCACACTGTAACTGGTGCAACTTAAATGATGGAAGACATGTATTCCAATACATTACTATCATCTTCCTCAATGAATCTGGTAGATGTGACTTGTTTCGAATGCAGAATACATAAAATTTAAGTCACACGAGGGGTGATATGCATGGCGACAGAAGTTCATTACAGAAAAGAGACAGGAGCCAATAATGGTAGTGACGGCGATAACATAAATGGCGAACGAGGTCCTCATAGTCCAGTTTGTAGATGTTCCATCCCCTGACAGATACGATGAACACTGCCGCACACCCACGCCATTCAGCCTGCTTTAGCTCTGTTACAAACATATGATTCAATCGCTCAGCTTTCACTTGCCAGAATTACCGACATAACATGCGTTTTCATTGCTTCCACCTTATGATTTCTCTCGCACTTATTTTATCCGAAACATCAGATGATAACAACCTGAAATTAACAAAACTGCAAGAATTAATGCGACGCACCAGTTCTTGACTGGTAGAGGAAACAAGAACCGTCGTTGGTAAGCACGGCTTTGCAGATGTCAACATTGAGAAATCCGTCGTAAATGGAATAGAATCAGATTCCAGACGGCGCACAGTAAAATCTGAATAGCCGACGAGAGCTGAAGCCCAACTCCAGTGAGTTTTCGTGAAGAACAACTAGTGCATTTATTCATTTTCTTTAAAAGATAAAACTTCTCCATGCACATCACATACAAAAATTTGTCTTCTTTAAACTATCCACCAAAGAGACTGCCATATTGTCGTCTCTTAAACCCATTGAACTTACCATAGCAGATACCAACAACGAGCCCCAGAACGACAGCCAGTACGAGCACCCAGAGAAAAGAGTTCAGCAGCCGCTTGCGTGTGTGCCTGAAAACAAAGTTTACGTAGACACATCACGGAGCAGGGAAGAGTTCGATCAACATTCAGTTAGTTCATGACAACTTCAGTTTACCTGTGAGCAATTACAATCTATTCCACAAGCATACGCCGATTTTGCCAAGGCAACGAGATTTCAGGCTAGTTGATCAGCTATCGCTAAGCTTACATCATGTGGAAATGCAGAGAGTTACAGACAAAAGAAACACTGGAAAGGCAAATTTGCGAAAAGAATACAGCAGGCTATTTACAACGACAACGATATGAACATATTCAGCATAGCTGAAAACTGAAAAATTCATGTCATGAAAGTGGTTGAGTCAGGACTTACGTCTGTTCATCAGCTTCATAGTAGAAGAACGAGAACGGACAGATGAAGAACAAAAATATTGCGTCGATAATGTACACCGCATACCATAAATCTTTCATGGGCAACGTGTAGTTACACGCATTCAGATAGACTGAATTCTTGCAAGCGTTTCGATTTGCCACATCCGCTGGCAACATTAGGATGGAAATCTGTGCAATCGAGAGCCCAAATATGACGATCCCCTTGGGCAGGTAGGCTTGATTATGGTCATCGGGGTGCTGATAATTTATCAGAAAATAGGTATTGCAGATGAAAACAACGATCACAACTATCACAATTATCACTACAAGCGCTATACTGAAATCTGAGCTCATGTTGAAGGAGTTCTAGTAAAATTCATGTGACGAAAATCAGGTCTACGGCATGATTAATTGAGTCATAAAAAAATCACACAAAGAAGTTCTTGTAATGTCTGGAGAGCTCGTGGAAGTTATACAAAATAAATAACCGTCTAACACTAGGTTTATTCATTCTATCTCCAGCATTTTAACTTCTTATCCTACAAGTCAATCTGATTCGCATGCGTTCAACAAAAAAATCCTTTCTCATCGCTGAGCATGACGTTTCACGACACATCCAATCCCGAAGCCCTCATACGTGCGGCACCTCTTTCTCTACAGAATCCGTGAAATGCATTCTAAAATTCCCTTCCCTCGGCGAACGATGATACTCTCAAAAACAGTCCGCGTAGGGTGACATCACAGCGAGCGGAGTTACGACGAGGCGGAAGAGACATGTGTTCGCCATAGCCATAGCCAGGAGCTCTGTTCCAATTAAGTACAGAGCTAGGGCAATTATATCGTAACATCCTTGTTATGTCATTTCCACAAAATCTGAAAGAAAAAATCATATTAATTAGGAGTAAATTACACAAAAAGTGCATAGGTAAAAAATAGAGAGATAATTCTCATGTTGAATAAAATTGAAATAAATGAAACTAATTTTTAATTTCGATTTACTTCTACAGTTGGTGTACTCTATGTTCATGTATTATAATAGTTTTAATTAATCAAATACATACAAATTTGGGCAAGCCAATAATTTACGCAACAAAAATCATGATTTTCATCCATCCGGAGCTGCATCCCTGGAACATGGCGGCAATTGCGTGGTGTCGGTAAACCAGGTTAACGCGGAGCTGTAGATTCGTGATCTCTCTCGCTCTTGTCGACGGATCCGATGTTCGGTGACGGTAACGTCGATCGATGTCGGGTCTCTGTGGAGTCTGGGCCGATTCGTTGAACGTCCAGTCATCCGGCGGAACTGCCGTAGGCGGTTGTTTCAGTCGGCGCTGTCATCGTATCACTCCGTCGAGAATAGACTTGTGCTAGTCCGGCATTGCTTGAACTGAATGGTTTAATGGGTCTAGTCACGGCCCTAATCGCTGTCTGTGTCGTAATCGCTCACCACGCCGTTACCGTAGGCTGGGTTCATCAGATTGTTTCCCTCGATGCCTCCGAACTCGTCATCGTCCTTCTGCGGGCGAAACTATGCACTCGTCAGTTGTTGCATGTTGCATTTTGTCAGTAGGTGGAATTGTGGGTGCCAATGATGTTACGTTGAGATGGGGAGTTTGTTTACCTTTAAGTTATTGGATCGATCTGGAATCCGATCATTCTTCCGCAAGTACTGTTCTCTGGTCCACGGCTCCACATCCCGTTGCTATAAAGAAAATCAGTATAACCATTCAGTATGTGAAACTTTTAAAAAGCTGGGGTGAAAGTTAATCGATTGTATACAGCAACGTCTGAACACTGTTATCGAGCTCTTTAAGCCACTTGGACAGACCCTCATCGCGCAAGAACCGTGAATTGATACCATATGTAATGACGCTGTTGTGGAGACATTTGTTTGTGCTTACTGTAGATACAACTGTTGCAAATTGCATAGCAACAGGTTTGGACTGTGCCAGTTTGGACCCCTCTCTCATGGTCTCCAGGTTGGCATTGGTGGTGGCTGATGGGATGCCGAAAATCACTGAAGTTTCGCTTAATCGTGACCGCTTCTTAGGGATCGCCACTGCCAAGTCAAAGCAAAGAATTCAATGGTAGACTATTGCGAGCATGATGCGGTCAAGAAGAAAAAGAGTCCCTTGACCAAAATGAATGCACACTGAAACCCTCGCGAGACTCACCTTTCTTTTTCGTACTGAGAGCATCGGGATTGTACCCAGGATATTCCTCTTTCTTTGGTCTGAAGAATATGAAGGGATTCTTCAAGAAGCGAAAAACGGCGCTCATCCCCGTCTTGTGCAATAACTTTTTCACTGCGGAAAATGGAAACATACGAGGAAATATTAATAAGAAAATAGTATGTCGAATCATACAGTGGAAATTCTCTCTCTCTCAACCTCACAGGAAGCCTCAGCATTGTAACGTACTTTATCACTGTCCACCGGATTCATTGTGAATGCTCTGAATTGACACAAAACTGAACATTATCATTCTACACTGTAAATATTATTTTTATTTATTATTATTTTACAATTTTGTCTCGCAAATCAAACAACATTCCAGGTCACCTCACAAGTCATAATAAATAGGGTGTGTCGTTGAAAAACTTGCTACCCCGACGCTTACGTTTACTGTTCTTGATAGTTTTTCTGGGCGATGCTTTAGAAATGACGCAGTGTGCAAGGTCCTGCAGCTGTAATTGGTAGACCACAAAAGTCGCACAAAGGTAAGCAAACGATTTTTCCAATAATTCAATCTGGAATGAATGATCTGTGAACTTGAGGAAACAAGAGAAAGCATGATATGGCTGTGTTCTACCTCACGAAGTTGTCTTAGAAGCTCCCGTTCCTCTACTTTGGCCAGCTCCAAAGCCTCTCTCTTCGCATCCTCCGCCTTTAAACGGTCTAGTTCTTCTTCATTATATCCAGCGAGCAAGGGCTCCTCCCACGGCTTTTCGAATCCCTTTGAACAGCGCAAGAACAAAAAAATTACCTTCGTCCGCAAGTGAAAATTAATGAATCCTAAGCAGTGGTAACAGATTGTGAGGGACAGCGTCTTAATATTACAATGTATCAGATTTCGTATTACTAGGCACAACAATATTAACATTGCCGGTTCCACGATGAGAAGTGAGCGACAAATCCGACTAGACGATGAATTGGCTTATCACTCACAATATCGTTAGGATTAGCTTGATCGGTCTTCCCCTTCGAAGTGTGATTGACAAAAAGAATTCCTTTGCCCTGAGATTTCTCCTGTATTGCGAGTTTATCTTCAGTAGATTCGATAGATCTGTGTTCGGTATCAGAGCTGGAATCAGACTTATAACCTGGACTTTGGGTGCTGGGGCTCAAACTAGGCGTAGATACAATTCGACTTATTTCTAGAGAAACAAGAGGTTGGGAACCCATAGACCGAGTCTTCACATCATCTTGCCAAGTGCGTTGGGATCGCGAGCGAGGTCCATCGGTTTCCGACTCATCCAGATCAGTCCCCGTGGACAATTTCTCTGATTCAACTGCGCCATTAGAAGGGGAATGACATTGACCATTGCCATGAATCCTTATACCACCTTCGTAACACATCGGAACATCATGCAGACTGAAACTCGTCGCTCCTGCAGTACGCTCTCTCTCATTGTTCCTTTCGACTTCAGAATCATCGTTTTTCGGCCGATTCAAACTTCATGCGAAACATTGTCACTTTTCAATGGGACCCCCCCGACTGCTGTCGTCGATGTGCAACTAAACTCGTGTGCAGGTTATGTTGTAGCTTCTGAACCTGACATCATGGAGATAAAGATACTCGTTCGTTGACAACCTATACTACTGTCAAACATGTACAAACTCGAACACCGAGTGCCAATGCTGCGGCCGTCACTGCAACGTCACTGCAACGTTCATGCGCATTTGTTGGAACTCCAAACATCACCTCCCACCCGCAACGACAGGTTTAGAGGTCCTCAATCTGTCCAACCGATGCAACTCAGACTGGTCGGAGACGTACGATAAACTCCTACAACATAGACAACCATGCGTGACATCAATGGACGACGTCATGCTCCAGTCCATGTTCACACAAAACTACTCAGAATCGGCTCCAAATTCGAAGTACAAACCCAACCGTTCTCGTATGTGGACTACTACTCTTTCAGTCTGGATCGATTTCCTGCAACACACACCAACACACACACACACCGTCAGTAGTATAGTATGCGGACGACGACGCTCGCCCTGCACGTGGCCCTCTTTCGTCTGTCGCCCATCCAGCCACAGAGTCTCCCCAACAGTCATTTTTTACTGGGTTTTCTACGTAATGAAAACGAATGACGAAATTCTAGTGCTGCGATACCAGCTTGGGATTCCGCCTGGGCGTCCTACCCTCGCGATTGACTGAGTTCACGACACACGCCCCCAGTTTCCGACCTCTTTTTCTTCCTCCCTCGCCCCCGACGACAACGATTTTCCCCAGTTTCACTGTCCGTGGATAAATGTCATCCATTTATCAACGCCGATAACTGGGTTTGGGAATATCTCCGGCATGTGCCAGTGTGCTTAATTTTTGGGTCGCCAATAACTCAACGACAACTGAAAATACATAAAAACAAACAATATTGAGGAGTCCGATGACTCTGAATTCCCATAAAAAATGGAGGCTTTCTCGAACTGCTTGGGGAGGGGGATGGATCACATGTTTTGTCGTTTATGGCTATGGTGTGCTTGACAGAAAGAGTTTGAACTTTAGAGGGTCTGCAGGACTTCCTTATTGTTTGTTTAGCTGAGTTTTTAGTGTGAATGGGACAACAATGATATGACATGTGCATTATGCAATTAAACATGTGAACAATGTTCTCTCTACTACAAGCATCTATTAGGCTTCTTTAGAATGTCCAAAGTCAACCCGAAAAGTTTACATGTGATAATGGTTATCTAAAAGATTCAACTACCATTCTAAGTATGAAAAATGTCAAGAGGTTAGTAAAACATTGCAACTATGACTCCGAGTTGATCCTACATTAGAATCCCAACATGATTCTACAACACTTCGTGTTTCTTTTGGAAGCAAGAATAACAATGTAAATCTTATTTTAATCCCACATTTTCACAACTCTCACGCTTTAATTCTTAAAGGGACTATTTCCATTTGAGATAGTCCACAAGAGCAAAGTCCATTCTTGACTAGTTTACTTAAACAAGGTTCTGAAAATAATCTCAACATTACAGTTTGGCTTGAAAAAATATATATACATATTAATAAAAGCTTTACAGTTGTGTTTGAGTTTGCTGTGAAGAGCAATAGCCGTGACAAATGTTGGATTAATATATAATTTGTGTTGGTGTTACTGCTTAATTTAAAGGCTATAAAATGAGATACAACTACCCCCCCCCCCCCCTTTGTGAATAAAGTGGAATTGACTTTGGTATTTTAAAATCAACATCAAATGCCAGTAGCTTTCAAAATATTTTTGTCGGTGACGTGCTTGTTGAAATGTTGTTCTCAAATAAGGACCAGGATCTGATACTCAACGTGGACTCACAATAAATTTGATATGGAATACCATTAAAATTTGTAGAATTTAGATTGTTGCGATTGTATCTCAAAATTTGTGATCAGCTATTTTATGATTATACAAATACAAGTATAAGTTATTAAATTTGTAGATCTTGTGCTACAATATTACATTTAAGTAGATGGATTTCCTTGATTCTGATTAATTAATTATCTATGACTATTGTCGTGGTTATCAATATCGCAACTGACAAAGTCTGTTAAATTCTAATTATATTATACTGTTCTTAAGAAAGAGTAAGATTTTGCATCTTTTCCTGTTGCAAGAGCCAATCATCTTTTTGAAGCTTTCTTGTACAGAAGATGAGATTTAAGTTCTAAGTATTCTGAGAATCAGTTTCTACCTAAAGTTTATTTTTAATATTATGTGTTTAAAAAAAATGTATGTAAACACAAATAGTTGTCTATCTGACTTAGATAGTATGTTGTATCTATTGTTAGTAATTATCATATTATTAGTAATTACCCTATTATTAGTGTGATTTGAATTTATAATACCTCTCCTATCAATTGCAATAAATCCAAAAGAATCTAATAGACCAATAGAATAATGACACTCTTACTTAAAAATATGCTAAGTAGAATCAAATGAGCAATGTATTGTAGGAAACTAGAAGAAGTTTGATTAAGGTCGTGGAAGTTCAATATTATGTATGTTATGTGGTATATATATATATATATATATATAATAGAACAATGTTGGTCTGTGATGGTAAAGCTAATCTTTATAAATAATAGATTATAACATAATGGGTCATCCTAGATTCTGAAACAGTCCCTAACAAACAAACAAAATAATAAAAACAAAAAATTTAATCAAACAAACATCTCTACTAAAAAATTAGAGCAAAATTACATGTTTGATTCCCTTACACCATATATTAAATAAAAGATCAGTTTGGTAGATTCAAAATTACCAACTCAATGTAATGATTCTTGTTGTTTTTGAAT